TAATAAAAAATGAAACCAACTACAATACAACATAATCATTTTGCAAGCTCAATACTAGCCTACCAAAACCCCCTCCCCCCCCCCCCCCAAAATATCATTTGTACACAACTTTGTTTCGTTTTAGGTGTGTCATATTACAATCATCTTCACAAAGCATTATCGACATCATAATGTGGATTCTTAGAAGAGAATATTTCCATTATTTTTCTTCAATTCCCCTTAGGAAAGCTGTGCTTTCACACATCCTTCTAAAAAACTGGTATTAAATTTGTACAGACATAACTAGCAACATTTCTTCAACAAGAATTAACAACATGCGAATGTCAGCTAAGTCTGACATTCAATATCACAACCTTCAGATATGGTGCGCCACTCCACTAGCCTACCAAAACCAGTTTAAAGCTGGTGAAACTCCATTCCAGTGGTAATCTCAAATGTGAAAAATTTTAATTCAGAACATTTTTACAAGTGCAGCCATTTTTGCGGAAAAATGATCATTTCAAACATAGTCCAAACAAACGTCATTGTCTATTCCCAATTAGCAAATGAATGCCAAGTGATACTATATGTACATATTTTATTTTTTTTTTACTGCAGAATTCAACAATGGAATCGCACATATCTTTAGAAAAAGGTTAAAAATTTATACTGTAAATTCCAAGTGAATTACACTAAATTACTTCAGGTACTGCTGTGTATTCCATTAGGTTGCTGTCTCTTTCTTTCAGCATATACTAAAACATATTTATTATTTTTCCTCCTAACTTGCTTCATCTATTCCCAGTATGTGAGTATAAGATGGGCAATGGTAATTAGGCCAAGTGTCCAACTCCTGAGAATAACAAGTGAAATTCACCCATCCAGGTGTTTGTAAGTTCTCCGTAATTTTTCTTTCTTATGTCTGTTGCCATGCTTTTTCCATGGTTTTCCTGCCACATTTTCCACGCTGGCTCCAGTCATCGGTGTTGAACTAATGCCATGTTTTAATCCCATTGCTGTTTGAATTCCTTTTGTCAAAGCACGTATATTCTCCTTTCATAAAATATAAAATACATTAGTCAATTTCAAATATTTTGTAAATCTGTTACTAAAACTGGATCAATTTCCAGGATAAAGCTCTGGCACACAGAACAGTGAAGAATAACATTATAAAACGACCAAGTTTCAGGATTATTGGGATGAACAGGCTCTTCCACCAAACCCTAATCCCTCAAAACTACACAGTCTTTTGTATAAATTTAAAGGAACATGTGAATTATTTATTTAATAATCTCACAATTATTACTTGCATTCTAGTTTTTGACCCATATTAAGCTTTCGTTACTGGAAATCCATTCCGCATGAATAACACTATTTTGCATCCTACTTGTTGTGCTTCCTTACCTGATGGAAGAAGCTTTTGTCCACATCATTCTCAATTCTTTTCAAATTACGCTGCTTCCTTTTGAGTTTTGTACCATTCTCATGACATACAACACCACATTCTTCAAATTTAACATGCTGGAATTGGAAATGAGCAGGATCAATGCCAGGTGGAGAGTGGCAGTACAACAGCTTGCCCTAAATTTAGAAGCAGAAAACAGACATCAAAACAATATCTATTCATATCTGTTTATTCATTTTATTCATAGATTCATACAGCACAGAAAAGGCCCTTCGGCCCATCAAGTCTGCGTCGACATAACTATCACTAAAGGTGTGCTAATCCCAATCTTCTGCACTTGTCCATATCCTTTATTGTCAGATACAAATGGCTGCTTAGGCAACGAAAGCAAATGCACCACACTAAACCATTTCAGGTTGATCACTCTTGGGATCACATTTGAGATGTGGAAACCAATTTCCTTTCAATTATTATTTGCCAATTCCCAACTCTGGGTAGTTTTTGCTTTAAAAATTTCATTTCAATATCCAGGGCTAACAGCACAAATACTATACAGCCAAACTTTGGAATAAAATTGCATGAAGAAAAATTCCCATCATTACAAACATATGACAGCAAAACATTAGTCATGCACTATTCAGTAGACTTCAACTCATTGTGGAGAATTATACTTTGCCTCAGATAGAAACAAGTCAGGAAAGAAGTCCCAAACATAATAGTTCACCGTGTAAAATTTTCTCTCATCTCAGCTCTGACAAAAACAACTTATGATTTAAGACACTATCATATCTCCCCTCGAGCTTCTCTTGGCAAATTGTCTCTCCAGCTTCAAAGATCTATATAAATGAACCCCTGGGTCTCTCAATACTTGCAACATTTTAAAATTATACTTTTAACAAATGCTGCACCGCTAATTTTTCACTAAAACAAAGAGCATTTCACACTTCTCTCTTTTAACTATCTACCATGTCTCCCCATTTCATCAGTTTTATACCTTCCGAAGTCTGTTGCTGTCTTCCTCAATGTTTACAACATTTCCAAGCTTTGCGTCACCTGTAACCTTTTAAATGATGCTCTGTACACCCAATCCACATCACTTAATATACATCAAAAATAGTGGTCTCAATATTGGTTCCTCAAGGACACTGTTGTACGTTTCCCTCAGACACCTGTTCATCTCTATCTTCTGCACTTAAAACAAGTCAGTTTCTCCATGCAAAAAAAGCATGCCCAGTCTATTGGTCCACCCAAACAATTTCCTTTACATCCATGAAAACAAAACAGGATTTATTTGCAAGCAATCATGCAACCAGTGCAAGAACTACAAACACTGTACTCACTGTAACATAATCTTTCAAAATATATCGAGCTGCTCTAGGTTGATCTGGTTGCCCATGGGAAGTCATAAAACCTCTCATATCTGCAAGATAGCAAAACATTGGTTACTTAGATGACTGAATTCATTATTGGACTTAGAGCATTAAGAGTGAGATGTTCTTGAAGAAAGAAATTACATTTGTCCAGCCAAGTTTTGCAACTGAAAAAAATACAAACATATACAAACATGTAGAGTATAGCATTTAATAAAAGTTTGAGCACAATATTTTTGGCCAAGAGATTCATTTTTTTCACCCTTCAAGCAGAACAAAGGTGAGAAAATAAATGGCACAGGAAATCTGTATATAAAACCACCATCCAAAAAACAGGAGAATGTTCGTTTTAGGACAATCCCAACCGCAACACATTGGTGGGGTGGTACATGAGGACGAGGGGGATTCTGTTTTGGTTGTTATTGCGGGGAGGGGGTGTGAGGGATGAGTTGCGGGAAATGTGGGAGACACGGTCGAGGGCGTTCTCGACCACTGAGAGGGGGGAAGTTGCGGTCCTTGAAAAACGAGGACATCCGAGATGTACGGGAGTGGAATGCCTCATCCTGGGAGCAGATGCGGCGGAGGCGAAGGAATTGGGAATAGGGGATGGCATTTTTGCAGGAAGGTGGGTGAGAGGAGGTGTATTCTAGGTAGCTGTGGGAGTCGGTGGGCTTGAAATGGATATCGGTTTCTAGGTGGTTGCCGGAGATGGAGACAGAGAGGTCCAGGATGGAGAGAGAGGTATTAGAGATGGTCCAGGTGAACTTCAGGTTGGGGTGGAAGGTGTTGGTGAAGTGGATGAACTGGTCGAGCTCCTCGTGGGAGCACGAGGCGGTGCCGATACAGTCATCAATGTAACGGAGGAGGAGGTGGGGTTTACGGCCAGGGTAAGTACAGAAGAGGGATTGTTCCACGTAACCTACAAAAGAGGCAGGCACTACATCTCAGATGTCCTCGTTTTTCAAGGACTTCACAAGCTTCAAAATCTCCCCTTCCCCTACCCCATCCCAAAACCAGCCCAGCTCGTCCCTGCCTCCTTAACCTGTCCTTCCTCCCACCTATCCCCTCCTCCCACCTCAAGCCCCACCCCCATCTCCTAACTACTAACTTCATCCCGTCCCCTTGACCTGTCCGTCCTCCCTGGACTGACCTGACCTATCTCCTCCCTAACTCCCCACCTACACTCACCTTTACTGGCTCCATCCCTGCCTCTTTGACCTGTCTGTCTCCTCTCCACCTATCTTCTCCTCTATCCATCTTCTATCCGCCTCCCCCTCTCTCCCTATTTATTTCAGAATCCCCTTCCCCTCCCCCATTTCCGAAGAAGGGTCTAAGTCCGAAACGTCAGCCTTCCTGCTCCTCTGATGCTGCTTGGCCTGCTGTGTTCATCCAGCTCTACACCTTGTTATTCTCAGATTCTCCAGCATCTGCAGTTCCTACTATCTCTGAAACTGATGTAATTAGCTTTACTCTTGCATCTTTTCTGATGGTCTATTGCAGATTAGGCAGTAGATTACCCCTCACTGCCCTCAAACTCAGTGGAGATATGGTTAGAACAAGAATCATGATGACAAAACACAAAGCAATACAGGTACTTCAAAACTCCAGAAAAAGCATTTTTGATAGTTATTTCTCCATTAAGATCACACTACTAATTGTCCTATGAAGCCAGACAATGACACAAGTGGGTGAACATTGTCCAATTTAAATGATATGAATAGAAATAGATACATTTATTAGACTTACACCCATAGGCAGTTAATAATTCCTCAGAAGTAGGTTGTCTGTTTGAGTCTTCATCTTCTCTGGGATGGATAATATTAATTCCATATGTGGCTTCCAAAATATGCCTGGGAATATGCTGGCAGACATAGTTCAGTCAAGAAATTCAAACAACGTGTCCTTTAAAAATTCATGCTGAAAGCTGCAACCCACAATTGTGTCACATGTATTATGTAGCACTGAATTTTAAAAAGAGAACTCAGTATTGAAGAACTAAGCAGGTCTGGCAGCATAGATGGAGAAAGAGAACTTTCCAAGTCCAACACGACTCTTCTTCAAAACTAAAGAGGTGGAAAAGTAACAGGTTTTTACTCGATGAAAAGGCAGGGAAGCGCAAGAGAAGGAAAGGTCAGGGAAAGGTTAAAGGTAAGGGAGATTAGATGGAGTTCAGAGATCACAGGTAGTATAGAACAAAAGGCAAAAAGAGTGGTATTGGTTGGAGAAAGGAAAAGAGTTGATACAGTCCAGAAAATTCCAAAAGTACCTAAAATGGAAAATAAGGGCCTGTTCCTCAGGCTTATGTTGGGTATCACTGAAAAACTGAAGCAGACCTAGAACAAAATGTCAGCAAGTTTCATGTATTGAAAGAGAAAGCAACTGGAGGGTCAAGATCATGCTTGCAAACCGAGCAGAGGCTTGCACAAGCCTTATCTGGTCTGCATTTGGTTTCTCTAGCATAGAGGGACCTTGCCTACGTCTGAGTAAATCCATTATGTTCTATTTATATAATCACACCAGAAGTTGAGGGTTTTAAGTAACATAGTAGGCAATTGTTTTATTGTAAAATTGTAGTAATAGAAACTCATACTTGCACCTCAAATGAAGAATATAGCAACTAAAGGTGGTGATCATGTATTGGCAACACCAACAATTGGTTTGTTTGAACAGGAAAAAGGAAAAATTTTGATTTCAGTTTGTTGAGAATCTTCGATACTGCGAGTACTTCATTGTTGGTTGAACTTTATTTTTTCAAAAGTGTTAATAGGAAATTATTTTGCTTCTTCAAAAAATTTAGAGTGATACATCAATGTGACACCAACAATATGATTCGGTGGGTCTAGAGTTGTTATCGCAAAGTTTTATGGTGATTGTGCTAGTTGGTTGGGGATGGGGAGGTGGTGATGGGGGTGGGAAGAGGAAAAGGCAGAAGTTGGGAAGGCAAATGCATGTTAAATAAATAAAAAAACACAATGAAACATTTAAAAAACACTACATTTAAATTTTCTCATGATATTTCACAGCTCAAACACATTATGGCCATTAAAATTAGTCAAACAAATTAGCCAGAGTGGTGCAAAATTGTATATATCAGATCTCCTACCATCAAGGCACACAGCCTTGAAAACAGAATGACTCAATTCCATTTTTTCATTGATGTTGCCCATTTATTGAAATGGAATACACTGTCAGAATGTATAGAAATTCTACTGCCTTATTAAGTACTGAAAAAGCCCAGCCTATCCTGGTGCTCAGATTTAAGAAATTACCAACACTGGGCTTCTAAATCAACAAAATATACTATTTAGGATAACCCGAACATGGACAACACCGGTGCCCATCGCGTAAGCAGTAGGCTGATCGCATCTCAGCCTCAAATCCACGTTCCTGACCATTCTCCATAACGCTTCAACCGATTACTAATTAAAAGTCTATCTCCTCCTTCAATTTACTCAATGTTCTGGCATCAACTGGGGTTGTGAATTCCACAGATTGACGAACTTTTGAGAGAAGTAATGTCTCCTAGTCTGTTTTAAATCTGCTGCTTCTTATCCTGAACTCGGAGATCTCATTCGAGATTGCCCAACAAGAGGAAACATCTTCTCTACGTCTACTTTGTTAATCATCTTCAGCATCGATTAGGTCTCCTCTCATTCTTCTAAACTCCAGAATACAAGCCTATATAGCTCAACCTCCCTTCATTAGGCAAATCCCTCATATTTGGAATCAATCTAATACACCTCTTCTGAATTACCTCCAATGTAACTACGTCCAGCCTCAGGTAAAGGGACCAAAACTGCACACAATACTCCAGGTGCATCACTAATGTCTTGTATAGTTGCAACAACACTTTTCTACTTTTATACTCTATTACTTTGGCAATAAATTCCAAATTTGTATTAGCCTTCCCTATTATCTGTTGTACTTGCATATTAGTTTCATTAGGTTTGGGATTTGTCATTTAGATAAAGTGCTTTGGCCTTGCAAATGGATTTTACAATGGCTAGATCAAACTCAAAATATTTTTAGGGTTGGGACAGCTAATAGGATTTTGGAACTGTTGCTCGAGTCCAGAATCTCCTGCAGTTGGTGCCTAAATTAAGGTCAGGAAAGGGAAAATACATGCCAGAGCTCACTAGATCCTTTTGGGTGTTTTCTTCAAGACTTGCTGGTGACCACAAAATGCAGGCCAAATAATGAGAAGAAAGGAAGGAAATGCAAATGGATTTGACAGTCTGAAACTCTTATTCAAAAGGTTATAAAATTTTCAATTTACAAAACCTAATTTAATTAGGCAAAGCCAAAAACAATTCTGGAAAAAAAAGATTTTGCATACGTAGCATTACATATCTGTTAAAATAAAAGGTATAAACATGTGGGAATTGAGTTCTAAATAAAAATACTTTTTGGGAGGAGGAGGAAGAAACTACTGAAATTCCTATTGGCTCGATGGGCCCAAATTTTAAAAAAGCTTAAGATACTTCCTCAAAGCTATATAGCCAAAATCTAAGGGACAGTATTATGGAAACTTTGGATGGTACATCTCAAGTACAAAAGTTTAATTTAAAACAACTATCAATTGTGTAGATTATGACAAGCTCAACAAGTTTCTAATAATACATGTACATCAATTCCTTCAGTTTAATGAGTTTGCCAGAAATGCTTAAAAATTATTTATCTATCATAATTTGTTGGCCACGAGGTTGGAGTTGCATTTTTTACTAAAGAAAGCTTTCCTCCTGATGAAATTCTTCCCAAGTATACTGATCTTTTCAATAAGAAATAATGTTGCCAAAAGACAGAAGATTCTTAATTAACATTAACACCACGTAAATTCATCCAATTAAGACATTTAATTTTTGAGAAAGGATATTAAAGAGACAGGTGGCACGTGGTCTCTCATCTGGTCTATGGGTAAAATTCCACTACAGACCATTTCCGCTTTGGTGGAGACAAAGGACGGCATCACTAGGCCTGGACAGTCACACAAGCATAAACCTGGCTCCACATACAATGTCTAGAAGAAAACCCAGTATTGCAAATTAGCAGAAGTTACTTTTAGGTTGGATTCAATATTTTACCAAATGATGATACATTAACTGCTCGAACTGAGCCAGAAATCATTAAATTTCAAAATATGCTTATTAAAAATATTAATCAGCAAAAGTTGAAAAAGTTCAAATGAACTCAATTCATAAAGTAATCAAAATTTGAAACACTGCACTTCATCTTTGGACTGTCTCTCTACAGCTTAAACTGATGGATGAAAGCTACGCTGCACCCACCCCCATAAATGTAAAACTATTCAGTGAATTAAGCAGGTATGAATTCAATTCTTTGAGGATACAAGTCCATTGTTCAGATATTTTCCTAATTAACCTGTTCAGAAATGTTATTTTGTATCTCTAAAGCAAATGGAATGGAACAGTTCCAGTGCACCACAAAAGACCCATTTAAATACATTGTTTATAATGTTAAATAAGTTAGCAGACATGCATAGCAGCAAATCTAACAAACTAAAATGTCGTAATGCTGCAATCAGTCTCTTCCAAAATGTCATCCTAGTTGACGCAGGTGCAGCTTTTCTCTACAGTTAACCTGCAACCTAACTGATCTATAAAAGTGTTTGATATTGACATGGGAAAAAGGAGAAAAAACATTCAATTTCAAATCATCACGACTACTCAAATCATTTTAACAAACAAATTTAAGAGTAAAAATTCAGCACTAAAGACATCAAAATACCTGAAAGTGTTTTGTATGGCCTGGAGTTGCAGATACAGAAACTTTCTTATTTTGAAGAATAGTATTGATTGTTGAACTTTTGCCTACATTTGGATATCCTACCTATCAAATGAAATAAAACCATGATTACAGACATAAAGCAACAATCACAGATTTATCTATTTATACATTCCCAGTTTACACCATTGTGCTTCCATTTTGGTGATGCATGAAGTGGTTGGCACATCGTGTGTATAAATTGAGCGTGCACTGGCTCCCAGAAATAAGTGTTCAAATAATAACACGTAATATTCTAGAATGCACACAGGTATTGAGGTAGGTCCTTATAAAACAAAAACCAAAGGCACCAAGTCTTAATAGCGCATGTCAAAGATTGGCTTTGACTAAGAAAGGTAATCATCAGTGTACAATGATACACTGTTTTTATTTCCATTGAAAGAACGTATAAATAGAAAGAGATGTTATGTATTTGAGGCTTAACTTTTACAAATTCCGACTAATAAAATCAGAATGGAGTGTTTGACCAAAATCAGTTTTATTCACAAAAGCATATCAGTAATGTAATATTTTCATATCATGGAACATATGCCATGTGAAATTAATTCATACAAATGAATCAACACTACTTGTCTTTTACATTATCCTATTCCCCAACTTCACATTGAGTGTCATATGTATTCTAAATAAATGGAAATTTTGAAAGGAAGCTAACTATAGATCTTTTTAAAATCCAAAATTCGCTCTCCAACATATTTTCCAACTTTCATAAGCCAAATGCTCTGATCACCTCATGGTTGCTTTTTGTAATCAAATTCTTGTTTTGCCCACCCTACCTTCCCCACCAACTGGAACATATGCTGCTTCTTTCATTTTTGTTTCTACTGTTTCATTGCTTCTGTCTTTGATATGGAAGTTCTATACCATCTTTTCTACAAGCAACCAAAGCACAAAGTCAAAGCAACAAAAAATAAAACTAGAATAAAGACAACAGTGGAAAAATGGGAATGGAGGAATAAATACACAAATAATACTTTGCAGAAAAAATTAAAATGATATAAAGAAAAGAAACAAAAACATGAAACAGAACATGAATCAAATAGAATGTAGGCTAGATAGACTAAATTCTTTTTTGTTGTCATACCATCCCTGTTTCAAAGCAATAAACAGGCAAAAACATACCAGAAAGGGGACAAAAAAAAAGTCACTTAAATTTTCACTCACTAAGCCCACTGTTATTTCATCATCTTTCACACGCTGTCCTTTGTGCAAAGTTCTAAAAATCTTCAATAGTTCATTTCTCTGCACCAGATGGCTCGAGTTACTGATGGATTTTTTGATAAACTCTGTTTTATCGGAGCTTGAACTACTTGAAGGCCCATCATTTTCCTTGTAGCAGTTTTCACAGTGGCCAGTGGAGGCAGGACTTATGTTAATGTGACCAGTCATGTTCTCAATGTCAGAGTGCGTAATGTTTTTCTTGTCATCTCCTGAACAAGTTTGCCAAGAGTCATCATCTTCACAATCTTCATACTCACTAGAGTCATCTTCATCTGCATCATACGTAGGCCACAAGCCATCTCGAGCATCAAACCGAGTACCTGATCCTCTTGAACATTCTCTTTCACTCATTTCACTTCCTTCTGTCTCTTGTTCTTCTCCCTAAACAATGAAAATTAGAAGTACTGAGGCTGGAATATGAAATTTGCGGTAGTTGTGCAAAAATAAAAAGGACCGAGGACAATAACTTTTAGTCCAATGAAAGCACAGGAAAAAGTGAGGTGGCACCTTGCCCAATAGGAGCCCAAGTTAAAACAAGATAAATATTCATGTTTTAACAGGGTATTAAATATAGTTTCAGTATTATATAGCAACATTCAAATCATTATGAAGCAGCTAGCACTCCGGCATCCTTTAGAGCTGTAGTGCAATCAAAATATTAATAAGTGAATTCCAGACTAAATCAAATCAAGAATCAACAGAAAATCATTTAGTTTTAGCAAAACAATAAATTTTAACACTCAAAACCAGCAGAAAAGTTATGATGTATCTTTTTATGCTTATTAATTCTGATTTCCCTTCCCACTTTCTTGCCTGTTTTTTCAGAGCAGCCTGCATCTTCCCCAATTCAAGTTCAGTATTAAAGTGCTGAATATAAGCAATTTTCCTGGTGTAGGAGCCACCACGCTCGCATCATCACTGAAGATGTGCAGCCATTGCCCAACAAGCAAGGCTGAGGCTGAGGTAGAAGGTTCATAGGTTCTAAGTCTACCACTGGAGGTCCTGACAGAAGAGGGAAGGTATTGTCCTGTACCCACAGGAGCAAGTACACACAGATACAACTGATGTGGAAGATGATTGTCCACGAGTGAAAACAAACCAGGATCTCTGGCCTCAGGACATGCTGCAATACAGCAGACAATGTAACTATTTGACACAGTAATCAAGGTTACAGCCTATCTCACAATATCACTGCTTACTGAATGGCACCACTAGCAGTGCCAACCTCACCAAATTTCACCCACAATCTAATTTTTCACTTGCATTTGTGGAATCCAACCACTGCACTGTACAGCATGATCATTTCATCCACAGCTCTTCAAACAGACAAGGCCTCATACACAAAAACAGCTGTTAATGCTTCAGGATATAGACCGGGCTGTTAGATGAAATCAGTCCCCTTGAAGAGACACTGTTTCTAGTCATCAGGCAAAGAGTAGCGCAGGAAATGGCCAGAGTAGGCAGATTTCCCAGATACATGGTAGCCTTTAGGTACCTATCGAAAAGTATTCACCCAAATTCATCCTTGCTCAAGTTCCATACGGTCTCATCACAAACATCCACAGTGCCGTGGCCACAGGTAGTGATCCTTACACTTTATATTTATCACTGTAGGGTCCTAAGTGCAAGATCCTTCTTGAGCCCCCAGAAGAAATTGAAGGGATTAAGCTCCTGCATGCCACCCCTGCCCAAGGAAGTGGAGGAAGAGAAATGTTAGGAAGATAGCACAGTCTCAATTTCTACACCTATCCCAGGCACCCAGTTCAGTGATCAATTCCACTTGTGACCTAGAACTCAGTGGAAAAAGACACCCTTCACACTAGGATGCACTGGGCTCTACTGGACATCAGCCAAACTCAGTGGACGGAGCACCACAGGGGCTACATCGCCAGTGAGTTATAGAGTCATAGAGCTGTACAGCATGGAAACAGACCCTTCAGTCCAATTTGTCCACATCAACAAGATATTCGACAATTCTATTGAGTGGTCTGAAGGGCTAACATGACACTGCTTGCGATAACCAAGGCTGCAGAGTCAACTAGTCAAGCAGTTTCCAAGGAATGCCAAACTGCTTGCAGAGATTGAAAAGTGCAGCAATTGAAGTTCAAACAGCTTCCGATGAACTACTTTCATCTTCTTCTAAAACAACAAGGTACTCAAATAGAAAGAGATGTCATGGTGGCTTTGGGTTACTCAGTTGAGAACAACTCACAAAATCAGCTGCCTATAGATCTATTCTTCAGCAGATCACAAAGCTGAATGAACAGACATACCAAGGTAGTAGAATGAGAATCATGATTCCTGCTCCATGGTACTCAAGCACTACACTATGCTGACATCCAGATAATCCAGACACCTAAAGTTCATGAGACAGCGCATTCTAAGGTAGTCCCATATGGCTTGCAATCTCGATTGGATCCCAGGAGGACAACTGAACTTCAGAATCTCAGCAGTCTTCCACAATGTTATGATTGCTTCTGTTAAAAAGCAATTTAATATCTTATTTTAACAACATTAGTATTATCAACAGAAGATCTATTGCACTAAATTTATTTGCAGGCATTTCTAAGTAATCTTTCAAATGTTTACCAGAAACAAGTTCTATTATTAGTGGACTAAATTGCAATACAGTGAATGAAGTAGATTTTTCTTAAAAACATTAAATATTACAAAGCACATTCTGCAAATATTGATACAATATTTTCTTGCTAGAAGTAGTTCTAGAACAAAAATACTAGATCCTCATTGTAGTTCTTGTCTGCAATATAATAACTAGGATAATAGAGGGATGATATTTGCTGTGCTATAATGTCCTTTACTCATTGTTGATTTTCCCATTTTAACAGTTGTTTAAAATATCTTTTATTAATGGTTTACCTTTCCTTCAGCATCTAGTCTTTTCCCTTCTGCAGTGGCTGACCAGAAAACGACCTGCACACCTTCCTTATCAAAATATCTTGCCCAGGCTCTCCGTTGTTCACATGTCAGCAGATCAGATTTATTTAAGAGGATCATGTTGTCTTTATCTTTCTGGATCTCCTTCACATAGCGTTCCTAGGAACAGACACAAGATTCAAGGAAAAAAATAATTAAAACCGGACACGACAATTCAGCATGTTCTATGACGAACTGCATAACTACAGTTTTTATAGAATACATCACATCGTGGTACACAAAGGAATTGTTCTTTCTAAATTGCATACCCGTCTCTGTTGGCCTTCACTGATTTGCTAATTCCTTGTTGCACTTGTCATGTTTACTCTTCTGCACATTAATATTCTTCCATTTGTTTATCTTACATTGTCCAGACAGTGCAATGAAAATACTCCTGTACTTCACATTGAATAGTTTTTCAGTCTGGGGTCAACTACTGCAACTTGTTAGACAGTGAAATGTTGAAATCAGTACTCCATGATGCCAGAAAAAAAATTAGGGTGAGGCCTGGCCACGAGTCCTTCTCAAAGTGTAGACTATGGCTAGAGGCACGATAAATCTGGAGATAGCAGAGAGCAGGATCTTAAGAGTGTGTGAGGCTGGAGCTGAAAGCAGAGCATTACTGTCAAGGCAGTTTGAATGGAATGAGATCTGTAAATGTACCTGTTTTTGTTCATAGTTGCATTTAGCTAGGAGAATTGGAATCATACAAAACCAGCAGAAAGAACTGCAGATAGTGAAAGAAAAGTGCAATTGTCTTGAAATGGAACGTAATTTGTGAATGGTAGTGTTTTTCAAAATGCAAGTGGTGAGATAGTGAAAAACAGAAATTAAGCGATTTAAAAAAAAGAGAAAATGCACAAGTAGCTTTAACATATCAAGAACTGCTACAATGTAGTCACTCCCACAACACCATAGGAATTCAGCTCTTTTACCCTTGTTTGAACTAACAGTGTAATAAGATCAGGCGCTGACCCTGGTGGATTCCAGACTGAGCATCAGTGAGCAGGTTATTGATATGCAAATGCTGCTGGCAGCACTATTGATGATATCCTCCACACTTTACTGATGATTGAGGGTAGACTGAATGGCTGGATTGGATGTGTCCTGATTTTTGTTTTCAGGATACACCTGGGCAAATTTTCACATCATCAGGTAGATGCCAGTGTTGAAATTGTACTGGAACAGCTTGGGTATGGATATCAGAAATTCTAGAGCATGTGTCTTGCGCACCATCGATGGAATACTGCTAGGGTCCACAGACTTTGCAGTATCCAGTGCTTCCAGCCGTCTCTTTACATCATGTGGACTAAATCATATTGGCTGAAGACCGACAGTGTGATGCTGGTGACCTCTGGAGGAGGTGTCATTTAGAATCAGCTGTCAAACCTTGGCTATAAAACATTTTAAAGAAAATGTGACCTATTTAAATGTTAAAAATGACATTTTAAATGTAACAACACTATTTGTAGCTTGGTTCTAAATGTGGGGAGAAGAACTATAAGCTAAAATCTTCATCTGAATTTGAAACCTTATCTGCACTTAGAATGAGATGAGGCATTTTACTGCTGGCAAAAAAATAACAAGGTTTTACTTACCAAGTCTTCACAGCGGAAAAGGAGTGGGTTTCTAGCATCAACAATCTGAACAATGATGTCACTGCAGAAACAAAAATAATTCAGTAGTTCATTTGTTACACAATAATTTAATAGAATAAAATTTTCAACTCAGACTAGGCAAGCAACATAATCACAGTCATACTTTAGACATAACGTCCCAAAACATCACCATTCTAGCACAGGTGGTGGTAGAAGAAACAGAACTATCCTCGGAGTCCTCAATGTTGACTCCAGGCCCCATGAAGTCTGATGGCATCAGATGTCATGGGCAAGCAATCTCCTGATTAGCGTGTTCCACCATTCCCTCTTCCTTCCCGCAGCTGACGAATCAGTACTGCTCTATGTCGATCGGCACTTGGATGAAGCATTGAGGGCACAGGTAGTTCTCTGCGTGGGGGACTTCAATGTCCAGCATCAAATGTGGCAAGGCAGTTCCACTACTGACCGAGCTGGTCAAACAGCTGCTAAACTGGATGAGCAGCAGCGGTGGGTAATCAAGAGGGAAAACCATACTTTACCTCATCCTCACCAAATTACCTACCACAGATGCATCTGTCTGTGACAGTATCAATAACAGTGACCACTGCACAGTCCTTGAGGAGACCAAGTCCTGTCTTCACATAGATGATATTGTCTATCACCATGCTAAATGGAACAGACTTCAGATAAATCAGCAAAATCAAGATGCAGCACCCATGACAAGCTGCGGGCCATCAGTAGCAGCAGAATCACTCTCCAACAAAATCTGCAACCTCACGCTCAATATATCCCCCACTTTACCATTAGAATCAAACCAGGGAATCAGCACTGGTTTGAAGAAGAGTGCAGGAGGGCATTCCAGCAGCAGCACCAGGCATATGTTAAAATGAGGTGCAAGTGCAGCTACAAAACAGAATGACTTATGTGCCAAACAGCATAAGAAGCAAGTGATGGACAGAACTCAGTGATTCCACAGCCAATGGATTCAATATAAGTTCTGCGGTCCTGCCATATCTAGTCATCAATGGTGGGGGTCAATTAAACAACCCACTAAAGGAGGCAGTTCCATAAGTAATCCACTCTCAATAATGGGGAACCCAACACATCAGTGCAAAAGAGAAGGCTAAAGCATTTGCAATAAACTTCAGCCAGAAGCGCCAAGTAGATGATTCATCTCGGCCTTCCACCAAAGGTCCCTAGCATCATAGATGTTAGTCTGCAGTTACTTACATCCACCTGACAATGTGGAAAATTGTCTAGTTTATCCGGTCCATGAAATGCAGGACAAATTCAACCCAGCCAATTATCACAGCATCAGTCTACTGTCAACCACCAGTGTGATCTAAAGTGTTCCCAACAACTCGAAAAAGCAGCCCTTGCTCAGCAATAACTTGTTCACTGACATTCATTATGGGTTCTGCCAAGGCCACTCACCTTCTGACCTCAGAATAGCCTTGGTCCAAAACTGTACAAAGGAGCTAAACTCCAGAGGTGAAGCAAGACTAACTGGCTTTGGCATCAAGGCCACATTTGACTAGAATGCGGCATCAAGGAGCTCTAGCATAACTGGAGTCAATGGGAATCAGAGGGAAAGTCTCCGCTGGTTGGAGTCTTACTGGGCACAGAGGACAACAGTGGTGGAGGACAGAGGTCAGTCACCTCAGCTCCAGGACACTTCTGTGGGCGTTCCTCAGGTTCACGTCCTTGGCACAACCATCTTCACCTTCTTCAGTGACCTTCTTTTCATCAGAAGGTTAAAAAGCATGTCCACTGATGACAACACCATGTTCAGCAGCCATTCATGACTCTTCACCCAAATGCAGCAAGACCTGAACAATGTCAAAACTGGGCTAATAAGTGACAAGTAACATTGACAACACACAAGTGTCAGGCAATGACCATCTCCGACAAGAGAGATAATCTAACCATCATCGCTTGTCCTTCAATTGCATCATTACTGAATACCCCACTATCAACATCCTGGGATTAACACTGACCAGAAACTAAACTCGACTATTCAATCAAGTGTTGTGACTATAAGAACAGGCCAGAGGCTAAACATCTTGTGGTGAATAACCCAACTCCTGATTCCCTAGTGCCTGTCCACCATTTACAACATACAGTCAGGAGTGTGATGGAATACTTCACACTTGCCTGGATGAATGCACCTCCAATATTCAAGAAGCTTGACAATCCACGACAAAATAGTCCGCTTGATTGGCACCACATCAGCAAACATTCATCCCTCTACCATTGATATTCTGTAGAAGTGTGTTATATTTGCAAAGTATACTGCAGAAATTCACCAAGGGTCCTTCAACAGCACCTTCCAAATCCATGACCACTACCATTTCAAAGGACAAGGGAAGCAGATGCAGGTATTTCTGATATAACACATTTTGTTAATGCGAATTGGCTGTAACACCATTGATGAATAGTGGAGCCGTTTGAATAACACAAACTTTCTGCTGTACAGGAATAGCAATTTCCCTATAATGTGATTTTCTGAAGCACGAAGTTACACAAGAATGCAACTGTCACATTATAGGAGAAATACCTGTACATGGGAACACCATATCTGCAAGTTCCCCTCAAAGCCATTTACTGGCCAGACCTGGATATATATCATTGCTCTTTCAGCATTGCTAGATCAAAATCCTGGAACTTGTGGGTGTACCTGCACCAAATGGTCTGCAGAGATTTAAGAAAAACAGATCACCAACACCTTCTCAAGACCAACTAGAGTCAGTAATAAATATGGCAGCAATGGCCACATCCATGAGTGTATAAAAAACTATGAAAAAATTAGTTGGAGAAGGTATCATATAGAGGTGGTACAGCAGAGATAATACACAATACAACTGAACTTTTCATGCCATATATATATCATTTCTGCAGGTTGCAAAGCGTCATTGGAACAATTGGAAATGATGCAACAATGTAAAAGGTAACATTAACTTTAAAAACATGGGAAGTTAACACCATAAAGCTGGACACCCAGTTCAATCTGGATCAGGCAGAGGATGGAAGAATGCTCAAGGCATATTGGGACAGCTTTCAAATTCAACAGAAATCCTAATCCCCAAAAGAACTGCGGATGCTGTAAATCAGAAACAAAAATGAAGGTGCTAGAAAAGCTCAGCCAGTCTGGAAGGATCTGTGAAGAGAAATCAGAGTTAACGTTTCAGGTTCGGTGACCCTTTGTAAGAACTCTGAACATAAATATTTTATTGCTTTATCTAAATTTAACCAAATTCACAAGCCAAGATACATCTGTTATAGTTACAAATTACATCCCAACTAAGTGTCCATTCATCCATATGGATTTAAATATTCAGCTTAGAATTCCAAATTTGATGGCAAAACAACACATTTAGATTCTGATTTTAAACGGATGTCAGTTCTGAATACCACACCATACCTTCTTTCAATCACTCTCCATAGTTGACGCCAAAACTCCAGATTCCTTTCAAACGGTGTCAGGATCAGGTTCCCTTCTTCTTCCAATCTGAAGATAAAACAAGAATAAGAATTGTTTAAAAAAAGTTAAAAGTACATTATTCCTGGAAGGGTTAGTGCTAGATAAATGTATTTTCTCCCGAAGCAATCTACACATTAGTAAAAAATGGCGTTAATGCTTTTACATTGTCCTGTATATAAAGTTAAAGAAGATTTAAAATTGGCTCATCAGTTTGAATAGGACAAGTCCAAATTTGCTACAGAGTAAAAATTTCACATGTTTGTACTTTGAAAGCAATGTAGCTAACTTTCATGCAGTTAACATTTGTGTGCCAGATCATGGTAAAGGGGTGGGGATCTGTGCCACTAAGACACTACTTTGTCATACATGACCTGTAGTTCTAGATTGCCAGGTACAGGAAACTTGCATTTAAAATACGCAGATATTACACTCTATTATGGCACTGCCATAATCATACCTTTCACATTGCCTGATGTTGGGAAAATCAAGCCTAAACAACTTCCAAATCTTATACAAGAACATCAGAACTAGGAGCAGGAACAGGCAATTCAGCCTCTCGATACTGCTCTGCCACTTAGCAAAATCATAAGTGAGATCACCTCAGCCTCAACTCCATTTTCCTGACCGCTCCCTATAGCACATTATTAACAGTCTGTCTGTCTCCTCAAATTTATTCAGTGTCCAGCGTCGTCTGCACTCTGAAGTATGGAATTCCACAGGTTCCCAACTCAGAAATAATTCCTCCTCATCTTTCTTTTAATTCTGCCATCTCTTAACCTAACACTATGATCTCTCGTTCTAGTTCGCCCCACACAGGGAAACAATTTGCTTATGTTATGGGTATTCAGGGTTGTCATGGAATCAGTTACAGATGAAATTTTGCTTAATTCGTAACATAAGATGATGAATGGATATGTTTGAGGTCATTTTTGTACCTTCATCATGTTTTTTAATGACTTTTGGGAGAGGTCAAGATAGGCTAAGCTACAGAGTTGGCCTATGCCTATTCACAATTACTCCAATTCTCATTTACAGGATTTCTTCTAACATTCACTGTTACCTTCACAGAAGATTTAAAGGAAATCCTGGCAGAGATTCCATACATGTCTACTGAAGGGAGGTGCATATACTTTTTCTGCTTACAATTACAAGATTCTGACTTAATTTTAATTAAGACGAGATCTTCAAAACAAGTCTCCAGATTCTTTTCACGAGTGATCTCTATGACAATGGCCTGCTTCAAATAACCAAAGTCCATTGAATTAAAATTGTAAAATGATTAAGTAAGGCAGCAAGAAACATCCAGTGCTTCAAAGCTGCCCTTATGTGATTCAAGATCTTAGACCCCAAAACAACAAGACTGTTCATTAATTTTCATGTTAAATAAATTTCATACCCAAAATTAGCATTTAATTTACTAAAATTGTTAACCACAGTCATTAAACACAACAGCTAAATTACAAGCAGTACAAACGACAATACACACCGAGCCAGCTGTCTTCTCCACTCCAGGAAGCTTTCCCTTTCTGATTGTTGCAGTTGTTCAGCTGCTGTATTCTCATCCCAATAAGGCCTATGTACAAGGTAACCGATTGAGGAAAAAGATCAAAACAAAACTTCAATTTTTAACTGGCCCAAGTGTCAGGTGTGAATTTATATTTAGTTGAATTTATCAGCAATGATACACTTCCAGGAAGTGTAGGTTGGGAAATCATTCAGCTGCAATCCATGATTTTCCACAGGACTCAACATAGGTTAGTAATGACAGGAATGGTAGATGAGAAGCATTTGGAGTGGAGTTTGAAATTATCTTAATTTTGCAGCAGCAAGGGTGAGAGGCAACTCAGACTAGTACTGGAACAGCTGAACTTGATAAACAACAAAATGAAAGGATTTCAGCAGCAGACAAGATGAAGTAGAGGCAGAGACAGATAATATTATAGGGTGAAAGTAGGCTATTTTCAAGGTAAAGATCATTTATTTAAAAATATATTATGTTTATAGGACCTGGTTAGGCCAACATTCGACTCCTATTCCTAATTCCCCCTAAAAAATGATGGTAACAACCTGCCTTCTTGAATTACTGCAGTTCATCTGATGGTTATACCTACAGCGCTATTAGGAAGGGAGTTCCAGGCTTTGATCCAGTCATACTGAAAGAATAGTGATATTATTACAATTCAGGATTTTGTGCGGTTTCAAGGGGACATTACAGACATCTTCCTTTATGGGATGCCTGTCTCCAAGCACTAGAAGAATCGGAGGAAATTGACTCATCCAAAATTGGATATCTGACATTCAGCTTAACAACAGACATTTGAGAGTGATTGAAGACGGGACAGCTGGATGTTAAGGGTATACATATGGAAACTGACTCTAGCTCTGCAGAATAACGTCGACAAGGTCAACAAAAGGATTGATTCAAAGGTGGTTCACTGGAAAACTGAACAAGTGGAAACTTCTAATTTAAAAGGAATAAAAACTATTTATCCTTAATTAAAATATTCTTTAAAAATCAAGGTACATTGGACATAAAGATGTTATTTAAGTTAGTCAAATGTAATCTTTAATATACTGAAACATTAAGGATCTTTCAGACAATAGAGCAATAAGTTATTTCAGGTGCAGTTTGAAATTGACTCAGGACACAAAGTGAACAGCCTGCAGAAAATCAATTATTGGAAGAGAAAAATCGATCAAAATTATAGAATATTATTAAGTTATCTGCCCTAGAAGAGGTTCCATCATTAAAACATTTCCTGAACACTTAAATTTAAATTGATAAATCAAAATGTTTAAAGAACAAATACTGGAACACTTTCCCACCTTCGGGGAATGCAAAGAAACTGCTTGTTCTCTTCTTGAAGCTTCTTGATCTTTTTGCTTTCCTCTGTTGTCAGCAAACCAGTTCTGTCCTCAGCAGAAATAATCTTGACATTCAGCTTCTCTATCAACATAGAAATTTAAAACTTTGTTATGAATGCATACTAATACTGCTTCCTCAGGATTTCTGAAACATTGCTATAGTGCCTCAAGTATAAACACTTGTAGGTCATCAACAAAGTCATTATTTACATTAAAACTTAGTTCCCACAAGGATAAGTACACAGTGGACATACACAATGATAAATGAACAGCACAACTGCCACAAATTATGCAACAAATAAACAAAAATCCTACATGGCCTGGTCATCTATAACGCATTAAACATCAACTAATTTTTAATCACTCATTTCATCACTTCTTGTATCAATTGCCTTCAGCACTAACATGTATCATTGGGAAAATGCTAAAGTTCATTTGCTTTCATTCATTCATTAGTAGTAGCTGGCTGGGCCAACATTTATTATCCATCCCTCAATGCCCTTGAGAAGGTGATAGTGAGCTGCCATCTTGAACCGCTACAATCAATTTGGTGCAGCTAAACCTACAGTGCTGTTAGGAAGAGGGATTCCAGTAATTCCACCCAGCAAAACTGAAGGAGTTGTGATATATTTTTGAATCAGGATGGCAAGTAGCTTGGAAGGTTCTGTTACCATTTATCTGCTGCCCTTGTTCTTCAAGACAGTAATGACTGTGGGTTTGGAAATGCTGTGTAAGGAGCCTTGTGAATTCCTGCAATACATCTTGTACGTGGTGTTGTTGAGCTTTGATGGTGGAGGGTGTAATAAGTGACGTTAGTGCCATTTAAGAGAGCTACCTGGATGGTATCAAGCTTTGAGAAGCACTCATCCAGGCAGGTAGGGAGTATTTCATCACACTCCTGACTTGTGCACTGTAGATGCTGGACAGAGTTTGGGCAGACAGCCGGCGAGTTACTTGCTGTAGGATTCGTGGCCTGTAACTTTGTCTTGTAGCCACAGTATAGCTAGTCAAATTCAGTTTCTGATTAATGATAACCCCAGCCTATTGAAAGCGGCAGATTTAGCGAAGGTAATGTCATTGAATGTAAAGGAGTAAGAGCTTGTTGGAGGTGTTCATTGTCTGGCATGAATGTCAGTTGCCACTTGTCAGTCCAAAGTGGACATTGTCCAAGTCTGTTGTATTTGGAGAACTTAATTGCACTGAACGTTGCGCAATTTCAGCAAACATCTCCAACTCCTTATGGTGGATGCCTTTGGTGAAGCAACTGGAGATGTATGAGCTGAGGATGCTACTCCGAGTAGCTCCTGTAGAACTGACCCGGAGCTGGGATAACTGGCCTCCAAAACGATCTAGAATAATCTACTCCTGCTCCTATTTCTCATGTTCTTAGGAACTAGTGGATTACACATGGAAAATCAGGACAATACAAGTTTGGAGTTTGAAATGATAAGAGGTTACAGAATCAGAAAACATCTTTAAAGATTAATAAATTGTTTATTTAAACAGAGAAGGTATATTAAGACAACAGAGAAAGAATACTGATGGCTACTAGTCCAAGCTTGTTATCCTCAAGATAGCAATGTTAATAACAGAAAGTAGAAGTCTGACAAAAATATACGCTTGGCATCAGTGGAAAGAAAGCAGCGTTAACATTTTCAGTCCGGCAAATCAGAACTCTGCTTTCCTCTCACAGAAAGTTTATTATTTCCAGCACTGTTACCAGGAAAAAACTCAATGCTGAAAATTCAGATTATACCCAAGTGCTGATGGTTCAGGGAAACTTAAATAAATGATAATTTTAATTGGCCTTTTAATAAGAAAGAGAAAGGTAGACTTTCAAATATAATTAAATTGAAAATATCCAAGTGGATCTTAATCTAACTAAGATAACAAAGAACAGTGCATTACTCAAACTGCACATCGGGAATTCTGAACTAATTTCAAAATATCTTACCAGCTACAAACTCTGTGCCTGCCAATTCTGCAGTTGCCAGGAATTCATCTAACGTGCTTTGTTCTGTCACAGATTGCAAATTCAGCCGTCCCCAGTTATAGCCATCATTCAGTTCACTTGTGTGAAGCTACATGTGATACAAAGAAACAGTAGATCCAGCTATCAC